CAGCTATAGGGACCGCATGCGGCCAGCGGGCCTTAGTTTGGCCACCACTGTAATTAAGTATACTGCAAATTTTTGAAACAAAATCAAATGAATAAATACAAAAATTATATGACATAAATGATTAAAAAAATGAATCAAAAAATTTAAATAACAAAAATTTATTATCATTTAAGTATTTATCTTTTTTTTTCTTTTTTTTCCAATATATACAATATATACAGTATTTACAGTATAAACAATATGTACAATATATACAATATGTACAATGTACATGTTGAGTTTGGATTGTCCACAGGATGGATGGCAATGATTCGGCAGAAGTTTGATGAATGGGCGGGCAGACTATTGTTTGTTCCAACTGTGCAGGACCTTCAACGTTGCTTGCAGCTGAAGCTTCCTTAAAAGTGGAACTGACTTTATTTTCTTCTGAGTGAGTCTTCTCTTTTTAATTGCTGTCGAAAGAATTAAATAATTGATATTCGAAAAGTTTTGTAATCCATCCATTATTATTTCCGAATTTTTTCCTTTCTTTGTCAGGATTCTTGGTGTCAGCTTAAAACTTGATGATGGACTTGTTGGCGATGATTGAAATTGTTTCAGATGATGTCTTTTTTATTGATGATGTGTGGACATTGGCAACTGGCCTGGTGTTTTTCAGTTCAAAAGTCAATCTTCTTTTAGCAGTCGTAGATGTTATTGGATTATCAGTATTAATGCTGTTTGGAAGACCATCATCTAGGTTTTGAGCGGTTGCGTTCGTTTCAGATGGTGTCTTCTCTGTTGGTGATGTGTGGACATTGGCATCTGGCTTGGTGTTTTTCAGTTCAAAAGTCAATCTTCTTTTTGTTTTTTCTATTTCCCCCGGCTCACAGGAGTCTTTTATATCCACTTTTGTCTGCTTTGAATTTTCATCTGGCTTGGTGTTTTTCAGTTCAAAAGTCAATCTTCTTTTTGTTTTTTCTATTTCCCCCGGCTCACAGGAGTCTTTTATATCCACCTTTATCTGCTTTGAATTTTCACCTGGGGCTCTATGTATATTTGATGAGGTTGTATTTTTTGTGTCTATAGATGTTTTGTGGCTTATGTTCGTTGATTTTGTTGTTGATCTGATGGTGTTTGTTGATGTTGAGTTGTATGTAATGGTTGATATTTTTGTTTGTTCAGTGTTTGTTGGTTTTGTGTTTGTTGATATTGTTGGTGCTTTTGTTGTGCCGTGTCTAAACATGTATGAGTACGACATCCGTGTTAGTTTCTCAGATTTTTCGGTTACTTGCGATGTTTTGTGGCTGATATTTGATGATTTTGATGACGCCGGTTTATTTGCACGCGTTATCAATGTTTTTGTTGTGTTTGTTGGTTTGGCAGTTTCTCCGATTGCTTTTGTTGATGTTGTCGGGGCGTTTGTGTGGTTTGTTGTACTGAGTGTCTTTTTTAATTCATTCGTGCGGTTTCTATGCATATACGAAAACGATTTCCGTATCGGCTCCTGAGCTTTTCCTGCTTTTTGAGATATTGAATGAGATGAATGGCTAATATTTGTTGTTTTGGACGTTGGTTTGATTCCATCTGTTGACGTTTTTGTATTGTTCGTGCTTGTTGGTCTAGTTGCTCTAATTGTTGAAGTTGTTGGTGCGACCGTGTGATTTTGGCGATTTCTATGCAAATATGAAAATGATATTTTTGTTGGTTCCTGATTTTTTCCTGTTTTTGAGTTAATTTGTGTGGTTGCCTTGCTGTATATGATCGATGATGTTGTTTTGTCCGCATTCATAGATGTTGAGTAGTTTATGCTGGTTTTTGGTCTTGTTGATGTTTTCGTTTTGTATGTGATCGTTGCTTCTGCGGCTCCACTGATTGCATTTGCTTTTGTGTAATTTTCGGCTCTCTGTGTTCGTTGGAATTTATTTTTTTGGTTCCTGTATATTGTTGAGTAGGACATTCTTCCTGGTGTCTGAGCACCATTTGTAGTTGCTTTAACGGGTGTAGTTGTTGATTCTGTTGAATTTGTTGCTGTGTTATTGAATTCTATTAAATCTCCGCTCAACAAACGTTTTATTTTTGATTTAATTTCACTATTTTTTTTAATTTTTTCTTCTATTTCCTTGAAAATGTTTTCAATTTTCTTCTTTTCCTCTATTATTTCTCTGAAGTTGCTGCAGAAGTTGTCCTTTTTATTATTCAAACGTTTGTATTGCACTTTTGAATTGTTTGCCATTTTATTATTTTTTGTGGGTTGAAATTTTTAACTTTATTTTCTGAAGTTATGATAAATTCTCGGAAAGATTTTGTCAAACTGACATTACTGAATAAGAATAACTTAAAAAATTACCTATCCAATCGCTGCTTGCAATGAACTCTGAAACGAAGCTGGTTATGTTTCTCAAGCCAGATCTCACTGGCTTTTATAGTAAATTCGAATTAGCATAAAATGCCAGCCTGCATTGATAGACAAAGGATTTCAACTATCCTTTTTTTAATTGAATACTTTGGAATTCTTTCCGTTTTATAACTGATAGAGTTTTGTTGGTTTAATTGCTTAATTATAGTGATTTGTCAAAGGTTATTTCGAAACTTTTATTGGAAGTCACTTAATTATTGTATTGAACGTAACTAATTTATCAAAGTGGCAATTAACGGTTAATTATTCTTTTCAGAGCAATTGCTAAATATTTACTACAATACAATAGAGTAAAAATTATATAGTTTTAAATAATGCATTAATTGAAATTAAGGAAAAAAAAGGAATGTATAAAATTAATAGCAATAAATGATAGTGTCAATGATTAATTATTTACGTAATGTTTAATACAATAATTAAGTGACTTCCAATAAAAGTATCGAAATAACCTTTGACAAACCAATAAATATCACTTTAATTAAGCAATTAAACCAGATAAATTTGATCAGTTATAAAGCGGAAAGAATTCCCAAGTATTCAATTAAATAAAAGTTGAAATCCTTTGTTCATCAATGCAGGCTGCCATTTTATGCTAACTTGAATGGAAAGTAAAGGAGATTACCTACTTGTAAATTGTAGGTTTCTATTGCTTGCTTTCTTGCTGACTGACTGACTGACTGACTGACTGACTGACTGACTGACTGACTGACTGACTGACTGACTGACTGACTGACTGACTGACTGACTGACTGACTGATGAAAGGGTCAAAATAATTTGCAACACTGAAACAGAGTTTATTGTCGCTAAGATGTTTGATAATCAGGTTTGTCCTTTCATTTTTCTTACTTTTTGTTGACACCAAAATGCGAAGTAACAATTTTCTAATACAAAAAATTTTCAAAAGATTTTTCGCTCTTCACTTTATCACTGGCGCTGTGAGTCAATCAGTCAGTCATTTGATCTCAATTTAAACTTTGAAAGAAAATTGATGTAACTGATTAATTAAAATGAAGGGTAAAAAAGGCAATAAATGGTTAATTATTTTGTTCATTCCACTTAGTTTGTTGTTGTAGCATTTCTTAGGGAACCAACAAAATTTGTTCAGCGCAATCAAAAGCTATATACTGTTTTCATTGGAATTAAATTTTTTAATATGATCCCAGAATAATCATGGGTTTTTACTTCTACTAGGTCTCTATTAATTTCAGCAATGGCATTTGGTCTTTCAACGATCAACAACCACCTGCTTCTGCTTTGAAACATGTCTTGAAATATTTTATGGTACAACTAACAAACTACATTTTATCAACTAAACAAAGCACACCTCTGAAATAACTAAATAGATGCGCTCTAGAATTCCACAGCACAATGCAATGCTATGCAATACAATACCATTCAATATAATGCAATTCGTTACAATACATTACATTACAATACAATACAATGCAATACAATACAATCTATCAAATAGCTTGTAAAGCGCTATTTCCGCGACGTTTCAACAGCGCTCCTTAATGAATTTTGATAACAGATGGACAAAAGAGTGTTTAACACGAGTTAAGAAAAAGTGAGAACAAGAAGACGATCGTAAACCGGGGCGTTTAGGTTCAATTAATATATCTGATAAGTACTTAGGAAATAATTTAGATTGAAACTTAAACATAAATGTGCAAATTTCAAAAATTATTTTATAGGTAGCCATAGCATGAAAACAAGATATGGAGATACATGTGAAAAGAAAGGGGCACGAGCAACCAGACGAGCGGCAGAGTCAAAAGCTTTACTTAAAGGATAGAGTATAGAATCAGGAAGACCATAGTAGAGCAAGTTACAATAATCAATCCTAGATAAGACTAACGAAGTAATATAAAGGAGAAGAGTAGGGTCATCAAGAAAAGGCAAAAGTTTTTTTTTCTACGTAGATGAAAGTAAGAGCTTCTTGCAACACTATTAATCTGAGAAGAAAGAGACATACTAGAATCAAAGATAAAGCCTAGACAATACAATAGATGCGCTCTCTATCTCTCTCTATATGTATAATATGCGTCAAAATGTGTATATTATATTAACGCTAGCTGTGCATTATTTCTTTGCTGATGCTGTTGACGCAAATGATTTAGAGTTTTATTCAGGGCAAATTAAAAAATGCTCGTGTTATTATTATCACTATTGGTAAAATTTGAAGTTAGGTGCGCTGAGAACATTGTTCTCGACAAGCCAACAACAAGCAGCTTAGTTTTTGCTGACCCTGAAACGTACCTTGTGACGAGTAACATGGTGGAAGGGGATGCAAACCCAGACGTTTATATGGGGCACTGTTTTATGAGTGGCGATGCTGCAGGGGATCTTAACTAAGCAATTTTGCTGGTAAAATTGTTCAAATTGTTTCAATTTCTTGAGCTTCATGGGTAAATCGGTAAATGAGTAAACTGCTTAGTTAAGACCCAGGGGATCTTAACTAAGCAGTTGTTGATCTCCTTGAAAAGTATCATGTTGATTACGTTGATATCTACTCAAAGGATTGCTGTGGTGAGTTATTAAGCTATTTCGTCTATGTTAGAATGCTTTTTAATATCTTTTTTTAAATAAATGCTGAACGTCATGGTTATCGTGACAGACAGAGTGTCGGAGTTGGTCGGAACTGGAGATTTTGGCCGGAGTTGGATATTTTTCATCCGACTTCAACTCCGGATAGGGATATCAATATGGATATATTTTATTCTTAAATTATTTTTTAGGATCGTGTTTTAAAAAAAATAAATATGTGTAACAAGTATCTTTATTACTGAAAATAAATGCTAATAATGAGAATAAAATTACATAATTTTCTTTAAGCATGTTTAAAACACAATAATGAAGTAGTAATTTTACTAAGAAAAACAACTAAATTTACTGATTTTAAGTATTTATTGAAATATTTCTCATTAAATTGTGATATTTAGGCAAAATTATAGTGCAAAAGTTGAAAAATTTTTTTCCTGAGTCGGAAATTTTTCGCAACGGAGTCAAAACTTTTCATGGGCCGGTGTTGGAGTTGGAAATTTTTTATCCGACTTTGACTACCTGGTGATAAATGATGATTTATATATTTTTTTATTCATTATAGCGGCACGACTGGATTATTTCATCATTGGCCTCACATCAGAAAATTATTTACCAGAAAATATATCCATATATCCATCAGAAATCAAAAACAACATCCAAAATACCTATCCTCTCGTGGTCAATATAAGTACACGGTAGTCAAAAGCTCCAAGCACACCCTGAAATGTAACGCTAATCTTCCTTCTAACCGTTACATCATTGCCCAGCAACCTGTCAATGGGGCTGGACTGCTAACCATCTGTGAAATGGAGGTTTTTGCCGCTAAAAATTTAAACTGTAAGAATTTTTTAATTCTACAAAATTTATATAGAAGGTATTAATAATTGTTTTTTTTATCACAGCAAAAATCTGGAAACGATATCAAAGTACTCACTTAACTGGCTACACCACACGCGTGACCACTTTCAATAACGTAATGAGTTGTCTGCTTATGTGCGTTCCAGGTGAATATGATTCAGTTAATTTTCATATCAACGGGGCTGTTTGTGAAATGAACAGTCACATGAACGGTTATCAGCAAACCAGCCTAAATAACCTTCTTGGGTGGATTTTTTTAGAAGTTGAGTATGCGTAAATAATGGCTACATTCTAATATTATAAATAACATGTTTATTTTAAAATTAATGATAATAATCTTAGACCCAACAAAATGTTATTTTTATTTTTCAATTATACAATCAATCATAATCAATAAACTTTCAAGTGCCATTTCAAGCAATTTTCAACAGCGCTCTTCAATGAATTTCACTAACAGATGGGCCTTGAGATTCGCTCTGAACTTTGTAAGTGATACAGAAGTAGTCAGAGAAGGAGGTAGAGAGTTCTAGAAAAAAGGGCAGAAAAAGCAAACGAAGATTTAACATAAGAGTGATACAGAAGTAGTCAGAGAAGGAGGTAGAGAGTTCTAGAAAAAAGGGCAGAAAAAGCAAACGAAGATTTAACATAAGAGTGATACAGAAGTAGTCAGAGAAGGAGGTAGAGAGTTCTAGAAAAAAGGGCAGAAAAAGCAAACGAAGATTTAACATAAGAGTGATACAGAAGTAGTCAGAGAAGGAGGTAGAGAGTTCTAGAAAAAAGGGCAGAAAAAGCAAACGAAGATTTAACATAAGAGTGATACAGAAGTAGTCAGAGAAGGAGGTAGAGAGTTCTAGAAAAAAGGGCAGAAAAAGCAAACGAAGATTTAACATAAGAGTGATACAGAAGTAGTCAGAGAAGGAGGTAGAGAGTTCTAGAAAAAAGGGCAGAAAAAGCAAACAAAGATTTAACATAAGAGTGATACAGAAGTAGTCAGAGAAGGAGGTAGAGAGTTCTAGAAAAAAGGGCAGAAAAAGCAAACGAAGATTTAACATAAGAGTGATACAGAAGTAGTCAGAGAAGGAGGTAGAGAGTTCTAGAAAAAAGGGCAGAAAAAGCAAACGAAGATTTAACATAAGAGTGTTTAACACGAGTTAAGAAGAAGTGATATCAAGAAAGTGAACGTAAACTGGGGCGTTTAAACTCAATTAATATATATGATAAAAATTTAGAAAATAATTTAAATTGAGACTTGTACATTAATGTGCAAATTTTAAAAATTATCTTATATTTTATAGGTAGCCAGTGCAAGAGAACAAGATGTGGAGATATATGAAAAAAAACTAGGGGCCCGAGCAACTAGACGAGCAGCAGAGTTAAAACCTGTACATAAAAGATAGAGTTTAGAGCCAGGAAGATCATAATAGAGCGAGTTACAATAATCAATCCTTGATAAAACTATGTAAGTAGTAATAAGTAGGAGAAGAGTAGGATCGTCAAGAAAAGGCTGATGACATCGTAATGGTTGTGTCCGGTCTGTTGTGGCATATCTTGACCAGAAAATTTTTCAATGTCCCTGCACTGAAGCCAACATTGTTTCGGAGGGTCAAACTTTCTGGTAATGTCAATTTGTCCTTTAAAAACTATTGTCGCTAGAAAGAAGTATACCGTTATGAAGTTGAACGACGATCGAATTAGAAACTATAACTAATCGGCGATCGAGATATGGACGAACTTCGACGCATATTGATTTGTTTTCATTTCGTGCCCATCGTAAATTATTAAAAACATTTGTGCCAATTCTACAAAACTTTCTATAAGTAAGCCCTGATTTGTGCTGCATATTCAAATTTGTTCGTTATTGATAACTTACAATACAAATTAATTAGCGGTCGATAGCAATGTTTCTTGCTTCTAGCCAGTTGGTGGTCTGCTTGTTGACTCCACGCAGTTAAGTTCGCTTCTACATTCTCATTCTTTTTCACATTATACGAGTTTTTTATTATATTTAATGAAACATGTTAAGAGAAATTTTTATTATTTTAATGAAAAGTTATATCGAAGACTTGCATTTAATTCATTCGAACGATGTTGATTGCAGGCAGGTGTACAAGTGCATTTTATGACCGTTGATATCATGGGAAACAAACTAGTTTTCAACATCCCACTTCATAAATCAATCATCAGTTTTGCTGACGAAAATCTCGTTCGTTAATTTGCATCAAAATTTCATGTTTATGCTGTATTGAAATTGTTGTAACCCTTGACACTCGTAACTACCAACACCGTGTTATAACTTCAAAAGATCTCTATATTTCCGACATCAGTGTTGTAGCTTCTAAAGGTCGTCAAGTATTCGTTATTCCGTAGGTTCAAGATTTCCGATAGATGAGCACAACTTTTTTGAACGTTTATTTTAATACCAACAGTAATAGAAACATTAGATTAATCCAAGTAACTAAATAAATCACATTTACGACTTAGCCTATATAGCCTAGATTTTTAGCATAGATTCAATATTTCTTTAAAATCAAGAGATTACAAATATTGCAAAAAGATCACAATTATCAAATAATAAATAATATAGTGCAATTAGATCTTTCCGCGGTTATAACGTTATATTTTGAATAACTATCTACAGACTGTTCAATGCTCTTACAACGTGAGGGACCAGGTGTTTCAGTTCGTAACAATACTTACAGCTGGTGCCAAAAAACTTCGCTGGGTATAATTTTAGCATTTTTTCATACCTTCTGACAGCAATGAGTTTTAAAAGTAATTTTCATTCGGTGGGAAGTTGTGTTTCTATTTGTTCAATATTTTTAAGGCGTCACATTTCAAACGTTCAGCTGCAACTCTCCTCAGCACTACAATGTAAAACTTCACCCTCCCCCATTCATTGCGCACTTTAACACACCCGACACGACGTTTCCACAACTGGAACAAACTACCCCCCACCAATTCATTCATTGACGGCGTCGACCACGTGGTTTGCAAAATAATGGACGCCATTGTTCGGTACGTTCAACTGGGAAGTTTTAAATTGCTCTAATGTTTTTTTTTTATAAGTATAACAAGAGCTCATTTAAATTATCTTCCTAATAATCAATCAATTAATTTCAGTGAATTGAAAACACGAAGATACAGAATGAAAACACGAAGAAACAGAATGAAAACATGCTGGTTCTTGAATATTACTCACAAAGGTAAGCACCGGCCCTAAACTTAGAATACTCGAGAAAGCCCCTGATAACCCCTAGATCCACCATTGGTAGATTATAGTTAAAAAATATTTATTTCAAACTATTTAAAATGTTGAATTTAATAAATCTTTAAAATTTTCCAACCTCAAATAATATCGAAATTTCAAGTTAATTTTTTTTTACTAAAATTTATAACCGACTTTCTATATTTTTTATACTTCATGTAGGCATGTAAGCCCCATAGACAGAAGTATTTTTTTTATTTGACAACCCGATTGATAATGTTGGAGGGAAGTGACTAATGATGGCCAACTCGATTTAACGTTTCAAACTTTTTTTTCTTACTACGCAAAAATTTTGAAGGTTTGTTTTGGGATTTATTCATTTTTTGTTCATTTTTTTGTTCATTATTCATATTGTTATTTATTTCATTGGCTGCGGATGCCGTCGTGAAGTGCATCTATATATTTTTGCAGGAATTTTTTTATTACCACAAGTCTAACATCTAACTAAAAAGTCTAAGTAAACTAAAACGATTAATTTAGTATTAATTATTTATAAATTTAAAAAAAGTTGGCTTCATCTAGCCATTTTTTAGTTTGTATAATTTATAATAAAATTTAATATTTTTAATTTTTTAAAAAACATCACTTTTTAAACTTAGAAATTCTAAAAAATCTAAATAAAATTAATTTAATTAATTATTCAATAAATAATTAAAATTGAATGATAGATTTATTAAATTTAGCTTACTAATTACTTAAATTGATACTGAATATTAATGTTGACTAAGCTAAATGATCCTTGATTTTTTTTCCATTTCATTTAAGAAGATTTCCATTTCACATTTAAATTAAATGATTTAATGAAATTTTTATGATCAGGATATTGATGTGTGTTTTTAATGTTTGTGTACATGTACAGTGTATGTAATCTAGTGTAAATTATTATGGTTATCATTATGATATGCCATGCCATAATCTCAATTTCTTCTGATTTTTAATTTAATTTTTAATTCATTTTTTTCCCATGTGACGATTAAAAATAATTTTAAATATTTAAAAGGTAATTTAATTTAGTTTCAGTTTAATTGTTAATTTTATTGGCAGTAGTATACAATTTTACTTTTGGATAAACTTTCCTTAATTGATTTATTGATCATATATAATATATGATGCCAAAATACAATAAATGATTTATTTTTAATTTTTTAGTTTGCTTTCTAACCCTTTTGTTATTAATTTACTAAAGATTGTTTTGATATGATCGCATGCTGTTAATTAAAATCTTGTTGTAAACATGCTCAATGAAAAATGTATGCAAAATGATTATGGCTTATTTTTTGACACAAATTTTGTTTAACTGTTTTTTAAAAGTTTGCATTGATACTTCTTGTTGAAAAATTGTGAATTTTATTTAAGTGTTCTTAATTGAATTTCTGTCACAACTTTCTATCAAATCTCTATATTGTGTTCGTTAGACAAAACTTTTCTCTATGAAACTGGAAACATATAGACCTCTTAATTAAGTTTGTGCCTTGTATGCATGCCAAAACTAATAATGAACTGAGTGAATTTTAATTTAAAAAAATCAAAAATAGGTGAAAATATTTCTATGTCTATGTTTGTATCCTGCTTCCTGGAAGATGTGTTAATTTTGTGGAATATTTAAATTCTAAATGAGAATATTTCTTTTAGTGATACTTACTGTTTCCATATGTGGTAGTGAATAGAGTAAATGAAAACATTAATTAACTAATTTAGTAAAATCAAAAAAAGTCGATAATTTTTGGTCAAATTTTTCAAAATGTTGCATTACTTTTCTTCACTTGAAAATTATTTTGTTAAGCAACATGTATCACTGTAGCTTTTTAATGTTGATATGCCATGGCTACTACCAAATCAAATTTATAACTCATGCAATTTTCTAATTTTGTGAAAGAAATAATTCCATTTTTCATTTATTTATTTTGTTTAGATTTCTATAGCAACTTATTAAAAAAATGGCTGAGTCTCTCAACCATTTTTTGCCTGGAGTCCTAGCCCAAGATACGAAAAAACGGATAGAAACTGGCGAGGAGCTTTTGAAATATTTGCAGCTATCCAACTCCTCGCTGGCTTGTGATGACACAGACCAGTTAGTCGATGGCTTGGCACTTTGGATTACCAGTAGCAATTTCAAGGTTTGTTTTTTTTTTAAAAAAATTCATGATTTTGAGTAAGTTAATTTATTAGCTGGAAAGTTAAATGCAATTTGAAAAATTAAGAGTTTAATCCTTTGTTGTGCATATTATTAAGTGTTTTGCATTTTTAAAAATTATATTTCATAGTTGTTTGTAATATGGATAATGCATTAATAGTAGATAACAACTTTTTTATAATAATGACTGATGAATGATGGTTTTTATGAAACTATTTTTATTTTCAAAGTTGAAGGACATTTACAATGGCATGTTTTTTTTTATTTATTATGTGTTGTTTATTTAATCGCATGGGCATTTTTTCATGAAATCAACAAATTGATATTAGAATCTGTTTTGTATGTATGTATTACAAATAAGATAAGTTCACATCAATATATATTATGCTGTTTGTTCTTAATTTAATTTCTATCCTGATGTTTTAAATTTATTTTCTTTGGTACAATCAATCACATGAAATCAAGTTTTGAAAGTTTATAGTTTTTTAAATCAGAAAGAATCCTATTTTTTGTCACTTTTTTTTATGTATGAATGTTTTTATTTGGGAATACTTCAATCTTTATTTCTAAGATTTCTATAATAATGAGTCAGGGCAAGCAAAATAAAACTAATCAGATTTCGAAAGCAGATGTGATGGTGATTTCAACAAAGTTTAACTTTATGATTAGCCAGAGGAAAAATATTATGTTCTTAATGAGCAAAAGATTTTTTAAAAGCTATTGAGATTATATGAGTGCCATGTAACTATAAACACATGCAACCCACAATGTAACTGACATTCTAAGAGCTATAAATGACTTACATATAGTCAATTAAGGTGTTTAAATAACCAATGCAAGGGGCTCTGTCTACACTCTTTAGTTCTGCCTCCTCATATGACTCTTATGAATGTTCAGTAAATGATCGCAGAAGTAATCCTATTCTTCAGTAGACCATGCAGAAAAAATCTTACTTTTTCATTATAACTTACAAGTGTGTGTGTTAGTTTATATTTAGAATAAAAGATTTTCAAGGGAATGCTGATCATAAACAGTTTAAAACAACGCTTCTTTCAGTAATAGCCTTTTCTATTCTCCGAAATGAAGTTTTTTAAAATTTTGTGATTTTTATGTTAGGTCAATGGCTTCTGTCTAATAGGAGTTTTACTATTTAACTTTTGGCCGAAATTTACTATTCTTTGTGTCTGTAATTTTCATCCTCTTCATAGTTCTCAACACCATCATCAGTTTCGGTGCCATCCAATTCATCATTTTTATTTTTTCACCATTTGTTTTTTTGTAATATGCATTATCTTCATTATTATTTTAATAATTTGCATCATCATTTTCATCTTGATAGTTTGCATTATGGTTATATTCTCATGATTTGTTTATTATTATTATTATTATTATCAAAACACTTAATAAGGCGCCAATTAAAATCAAAAAGTTCTCAAAAGCGCCATCCATAGCAATTAAAAAAAATAAAGAACAGTATACAATGGCAGTTATTAATAAACAGTTCAAAATCAAAATCAAAGTGCAAATAAATAAGTTTTCAATTTCTTCTTAAAATCATCCAGCTTCAAGTCTTTAGATTTCAAAAATCTTGGCAAACTGTTCCAAACAGCCGGTCCTGAAACAGCCAGATTTCTTGACGCGATCTGTAAATTGATATCCGGGACAACCAGCAAAATATTATCATCTGACCTCAGCTTCATGCCACTCATCATTACGGATTTTTCTTCTATTTTATTGATCAGATAACCTGGTAACAGACCATGTAACGCTTTATACATTATTAGGCCTATTTTGTATGTAATTCTTTTTTTAACAGTGAGCCAATGAAGACTTTCCAAAATAGGAGTTACATGATTGTATCTGAGACCACCGACAATCAACTTGGCCGCTCTGTTCTGTATGGACTGAAGAGTAGAAACATGTTTATCAGGTAACCCGTGAAAAAGGCTATTGCAGTAATCTAGTTTTGAAAGAACAAGTGCATGCACCAACGTCTGAATAGCCGATTTATTTAAAGAATTACGTACTTTGTATAACTCTCTAATCTGAAAGGAACATGCTCTCACTATCGTTTTTATATGATCCTGCATCGATAATCTGGTATCCAGTAAACAACCCAAACTAGTTACTTTGTCACAGAACCCAATCTTGACGTCATCAATTTCCACCGAATCAATATTTAGTTTTGTCAACTGCTGCCATGTTCCAACGGGAAGAAATTGTGATTTCTGTTGGTTCAATTTGAGACCATTGTTAGACATCCACGTTTCAACATTGCTTAGACACTGGACCAGTCTATTTATTTCACATTGTAGTAGTTCTGGCTTATTACTAATTATTATTTGTATGTCATCAGCGTAAGCGTGATACTTAAAACCAAACTCATCAATAATCTTTAAAACCCCAGCAGTGTACATGACAAAAAGAATAGGTCCCAACACTGAGCCTTGAGGTACTCCTGATGTTAAGACCATTACATCAGATAAAACATTTCTGAAAACAACCTGCTGCGTCCTGCCAACTAGATATGATCTGAACCATTCAATAACTACACCGGAGATACCATATTCATAAGCCAATTTTTCTAAAAGAATTTGATAATCGACGCAGTCGAATGCCGCACTCATATCCAAGAAAGCTACCAATGCCACATGCTGTCTGTCCAGCGCAGCAAACAGTTCAGAGAAAACATAAAGCAGTGCTGTCTCAGTTGAGTGATGTCGACGATATCCAGACTGATGCACTGGTAATAGGCTGTTCAAAGTCAAATAATTAAGAAGCTGTTTAGTAACCACTTGTTCAATCACTTTAGAAATAAAACAAATATTGGAAATTGGTCTATAGCTAGTCAAGTCATTTCTATCCATATTCATCTTTTTTAAAACCGGATAAACAATAGCTTGTTTACACCCAAGAGGAAAAGAACCACTGCTTAAACTCAAGTTTGTAAAACTCGTCAGAAAAACTATGAACAGATCAATGTATTTTTTAAAAATGTGCGTAGGAAAACTATCAATCAAACATGTTTTAGATGGCAAACTGAGGACTACTCTTTTAACCTCCAATTCTGTAAGAAACGTGAAATCAGAAAAAGAGCAGTTCATATTAGACATTGTCTGATCTATTGCCGGTCTGCTGGTAACATTAGTAGTCTGTCTTATTCTATTAACTTTATCATCAAAAAATTTCACAAACTGAGACGAAT